TATATATATATATATATATATGTATACTCGGTTTTCTATACGACACACACTCTGATTGCGTGATTACATTTAAGAATGCAAAGGAGTTTGAGAGAAATAAATGTATATGCGAATAAAGAAAGAAAGAAAAAGATAGATAGATACAACAGACGTATAGGATGTATGCTTTTAACTTACGTGCGTGCTCAGCGGAGAACGAGAAATGTGCTTCTGTCGTACGTCACATGACCTTCGCTACTGCATTAACCTTATATATTTGTGATAGATGACGCTGTTCTTTATCGTAAATATGTCAACAGGTTCCATCTCTGTTTATCTAACTTCAATGAAATTTCTTTTATTCGCGATATCGATGATAAATTGATTTGAACGGTAACTTACCGACAGAGTGGATGTCGGTAAATTTGATCGGTAAGTAAGATCTCTATACAAGATAATATAGATATCTTACTTATCGACATCTATGGTAAAGAAGTTTCTTTTTCTTTTTTTTTGAACATTGAAAACGCATAAAAGAATGCAGAAACTTTAGAATCTAATTAAAATTGTAAATTATGTTAAAAGATGTAAAACGGGATGAACCTATCGGATAGATCATATGAAGTAATAGTAGAGTTGTTTTTTATCGCTCGAGATGATTATAAATGATATTTTGGAGTATTGTTTAATTTCTCTTTTTTTTTTTTTTTAATATTGCAATCGACATAAAACATTTCGATCGAATTCGAAGGTAATATAAATGTATATATATATATATATTACTCGAAGGAAAGACTAATGCGATTTCGTGCAAGCGATAGAGTCACGACAGTGCACTGTAGTAAATATTTGAATAGTAATAAATTTAGTTAAAATAAGATGGTTTTTTTCAAATGTTTCGGAATCCGGTGTTTCTCTTAAACGAATAATCGATGATTCTTGACATTTACTTGTTCTTTTCTACATCGAAATCCTTTCAACATGAAATATTCTTAGAAGAGTTATTATTAAAATGAATTATAATCTTTCGCGTTGAAAATAATGAAACACCTACACGCATGTAGGGTCCTTCAAAATGAGCCAATTGATGTTTCTTGTATATTCCTGTCGTTCCTTAGATTAACAAATTAGATCACAATACATGGCTAATTTTAATAACCGGCATCCCGTTGAATGAGAAATTTTGCGTGAAACATTTAAGACGATCGAAAAAATATGTACCAAGGTAAACTAGGACAGATTTTCCCATATAAAAGCTAGTCCTGTTGTATCCGACAGCACAGTTTTCGAGGAAACCTTCTCGTGCATCAACATAGATCATCCTTGGTCATCTTAACATCTTATCCTCGAAATTGTCAATAACTAAAAAGATATATCATATATATCGTGTAAGTATATATACATTTATTCAATTAATTAGAGGAAAAAATTCTACACAATTATTCAAACAATATAAGCATAATATAATATTTAATTGAATCGATATTTAGAAATATTTTTAATCAGTGTGCAAATGTATATATATAATATTTATAATACGGGTTTGTATCAGATTTATATCAAAATTACACATAGATAGATAGAATGCAAATATATTTTGATTATAATAACTGACCATATTTATACGAAACAAAATACTGAGCGAATAAAATCGAAATGAGAAAGAGAAAGAAAAAGAAAAAAAAAAAGAACAAGATAAATTAATCTTAGAAACAAATTGACTTTTAAAACTAGAGAATAAAATATAATGAAAGTAAACCGATCGAATATCGATATATTTTATCTGCGTTAGAATACGATAGCCCCTAACACGTTTAAAGGATTTATCAGGTCATCGTAGTTAGCTTAAATCCATTTCGACGTTTCTCATTAGTATTTTATACCAGGCGTAAGCGTTAACGAGAAGTAATTTAAAATTGCAATAGCGCATTCGTCCTACTCCTAGAATCGTTCGATTTACACGAGCGTATATATCCAATCGGCTATACTAATGCAACCGGTTAAACGTAGAAGGAAAATCACGTTTGATTTTAATTCGGCTAATTTCATCAAATTTACAAAAGTGTATATATATATATATATATATTATTGATCAAAAATATTGGTCACAAATTGTGAACAATAAACATCGATCGAATACTTTAAAAAAATAATCAAGAAGAAAAAGATGTGAAACAAACAAAAAAAAACATAGGAAACAATTTTGAAAATGATAATTAATCGAATTAAAATTATAAACATTTAAACGATTATATTGAAATTATTTCTAAAAAACGTTCTTTTACGTTCTAGATGAAAAAATATGAATAGATAGATAATGTGTTTAACATTTTTAAAATGAATCGCGTAAGATGCAATTTACCACCCTCCTCCCTCCCTCCCTCATCCCGATTCTATCTCCGTTTCTCTTCTTTTTCTTCAAGCATCTTCACCCCTTTCACCATTCGTCCTTCTCGTAAGAAGGAAGAAAACGACCCTATGTGTTTCGTCTTCTATGCAACAGAGAGATGCTGGTCACGTTTCTTATCCGCGGGACACTTAGTAGCACTTACTCTTATCTTAATGACCAGGGACGCGCGTAGCGTTAATGGTCCCCCTTTAAAATTAGCACGACGGGGGAGAAGGGTTTGTTTCGGGCACTCTAAAAGAACAAAAAAAAAACAAGAACCCCTCTCCTCCCCTCCTCCTCCTCCCCCAACATCGAAAAAATATAATACGACTTATCGTTTATTTATTTCGATTATTTTATTATTTATCTATCTATCTTTTTTTCGTACGTTTTTTAAAAGAATTTTAAACGCGTCAGACAAATTTGGTATATTCGGAAATTTCATGTACACCGAATGATGGTTTTTCTTTTTTGTTTTCTTCTTTCTTTTTATTAATATTATATTGTATACGGGATGAAGAGAATGATATTTCAAATGATTTAAGAAGACGAATAAAGTTTGCTGTTAGCGTTGAGAATTGTTAAACTTACAAATGGTAGTAACAGTCGTGCATTTTTAAATCTAGTCTCCTTTTAAATCGGATCGTTGAACCGACAAGTCAACCGTGATAAGCACTCTAGCCTATTGTTTTCAACTTCGATTTATTGATCATTATTATAGCTTATGTCGTTTAGTATAAAATCTCTTTGTAGTATAATATCGTTCATAAAAAATATCTTTTTTAATATTAATAATAATAATAATAAATAATTTCCATTTGTTTGTTAGATGTAAATTAAAATATAAAATATGACACACACACACACACAAAGTAAAAAAAAAATCGGGAATTAAAATAAATATAATAAATACTATATTATAAATTTTTTCTCTCCATTTGTATTTTATTTTTTTTTCTTTCTTTCTCGAGATGAAATCGATCGTACCGAGTCGGCAGGTCAATAAGGACACGAATTAATTCGAGTTAATGGGGAAAGAATGATATAATAAAAAAGTCTTGATTATTAAATTATACTATGCGTCTTTCACAATTAGTTCAAGAGTGTCTGTGTCATATTATAACTAATAGAATCGGTTTACTCATCACCATTTCTACCTTAATCTCCACCTGATCCACCTTAAACCTCTCTCATCCCATCAAAATCTTCGATTTGAATAGACGTTAGTCTATTTAGACGTATGCCAATAAATTTACCTACGTTGTTACACTTTGTCCTTTCTTTCAAAGGATTAATTAACCCTACTCTCGCGTTACGCGTTCATTTCAACGTTTCAATCGCGTCTCAACAACAAAAATTATATATTTTATTTAATAATGTTAATAATTTTTTGATATATATAAATAATATAATGAAACATATATAGTGTCAAAAATTAATATGTGTATCTATATGTATGTGTAGTATTTTATATTAATTAAATATAATATAATAATATATATATATATATATGTGTGTGACTATATCGATTGCAGAAAAATGGCTGTTGTTTATGGTGCAACCATTGTCCTAGTTTTATCGTTTCTGACAACTAACGTGTTGTGTCAGACCTTTCAATATAGTCAAGGATGGACGAACGGTAAACGCACACCCACGGAAGTTAATTCTCAATTGTTATATCCGGCTTCATCCTGGATGAAAAATAATTTAGATTCGCAATTCGACAATTTTTCACCGCAACCACGTAATAATGATCTACAACGAATGAAATTATTCCATCAAGGAAATGTTAACGAAGCTGTAAGTAATGTTCTTTCGTGTGTGTGTTTTTTTTTTAACTCAAATTTGAATAACTCGAATAAAATTCTTTTCTATAGTAATTTAAATCGTAAAATTTCGAATTTTATAATCAATTTAATTTGCATTTAATTTCAATGAATTCTAATAACAAATCTATATATAATTTTCTATTATAAAATTATTCGAGTGTAATATAGAATTTAATTAAGAAAAAAATTGTATTTTTGTGTGTGTGTGTTTTCTTTTTTTAAAGCTCTGTCTGCTACCTTGCGAGACAAGCACGTCGAGAAAAAATCTCCGAGAAAATCAGCAAAGAAAAGGATTCAATTTCGAGGGTGCTAATAATATTTATCAAATGTAATTAATCAAAATGTGTCACGAAATTTACGAATAGAAATAATCATTAATCAATCTTTCAAATATTAATATATCTATCAGCAAACAAAACAAAAAAAAAAGTCGATAATAAATTAAAAGTATATTCAAATAATTGTAATCTCAATTTTATTTATAAATCCGACCTCGTCGATTAAAAAATCATCGAATTATTTTTAAATTATATATATATATATTAAATCTATAATATATTGATTTTATATTTATAAATTATTTTCAAAACATTACGATTTATTAACAATATCACACATAATCTCCAATATTTTCATTTCTACCAACTTTACATACGTTACATACTTATTTAGTTACATATAATAATAATAATAATAATAATAGTTCTATAGATTTCTTCAAGTAGTCCAGTTTTCATCGGTAGTTTCTATTGGACCGTCGTTTAATTAAGTTTTCGTAGTTGTAATTGGACAGACGGTTCGATAGGATAGATCACGAATCCAGTTAGGTGTTTTCTCTTTCTCTTTCTATCCCATACACATATATACTACACAAGTATATATACGAGAGAGTGAACGCATATATACATACATGTATACGTGCATACACGTATAGAAGCATTTCGCAGGGTATTTTGTCTGTCAACGGAAGATGGAGTGAAACTCAGGCGAGTAGAGACACCCGCTGAGTCCATGGATTACCAACCCCTACCAACAACTTATCCCGAATTGCGACTCACCACTTCGATTTCACAACCGATATTAGAAACTATCGATGTGTATATATATATATAGATTCTTTTATCGTGATAAATAATATACTAAATATAATATAATGATAATAAATAATATTAAGATAATGTAAATGTGTTTATGTGTATGCGTTTACAATGCATTTTAATTGGGGTTCATTGTGGTTATGTATTACGTAAATGTATTGCAAGTATGACTATATGTGTGTGTGTGTGTTCATCCTTTTAACAAAAATATTTCGTCATGTTTAATGTGTTTATTAATAATTAATATGATATATAAGAAATATTTAAATAATGACATATATTTTTATTATAATTGCATAACATAAAGTTCAAAATGTTCAGAGTTCATTGAGAGAGAGAGAGGTTGTTGTACCATTTTTTCTTGCATTTGCTATTATTACTTAGCTGTTTTTTTTTCTTTTTCTAACATTATACAAGATGTTTAGTATATTCCTACGTAACGTTAAAATCCGATATTTTTTTAAGATGCGAAAGATTATATTATTATTTCAAAGATGCACAAATCTTAATGAACTTATCCATAAATTATTTTTCAAATTTCAAGTATCAAGAATTGAAATGTTTCATACTAATTACGAGGGGACAAAATTAAACCTATTGTTATTTTCTTTTTTCTTTCTTCGCCACGTGTGAAAGGTCATACGAAGGTTCATAGTGACCATTTGCACTTAAGATTATTGCTGGTGGATTACGCGATTAGAGTCAGTCAAACAAATATGCAATCATTTTTTTTATTTTTCCTTCCTTCCTTCCTACTAACAAACTATTCAAAATATCGATTATAAAAAACAAAAATTTGACAAAAAAAAAACGCGAATAAAAATTATTAAAATTCAACGCCTAATTTCAATAGAATAAGGTCACACATACACACACGCAAAGTATTTTCATCTGCACTTACTATTATTGCCATGATCGTCGTCAGTTAGGTATAATATACGTAAGTACTTACTTATACACATAACAATCGGCCCGTGCCTAATGCACTTAAAACTTAGCTGTTAATCGGAATGGCAATTAGGCGAGGCGGCACACGGGAACAAGTTTAATCGCATTAAATATTAAAACGTCGTCGCGAAACTGCGAAGCTAATGCTATGACTGGGGCCCTTCTTCCCCCTTCTTTCCCCCTCTTCTTCTTCTTCTTCATCTTCTTCTTGACTATAGTTTTCTCTCTCATTTCCTTTTGTTATTACATGGACACGCGTGTACACGTGCCCTAACACTAAGACATTAACTAACGTTCATCTAACATCTCTCCGATACTCTTGGGAATGTAAGTAACTAATGGTTGTATTGGTTATTTTTTTTTTTCTTCTCTTTCTTTAATTTTGTTTTGTTTACTCGTGAATACTTCGAAATAATCTGTATATATGTATGTATATGGGAAATAGAAATTAATTTGAATCGATCGGTTGTTCTTGATCATTGCAATAATCAAAATTGGTATTTTTTTTTTTATAGTGATTAAATTTATGTTAAGATAATGTAAATGTGTGTACGCGTTTAAATAAATGTTCGTATAGATCAATTCACTTTCGATGATATAAATTAAAAACAAAATGAAACAAATATATATTCGTATTTTTGATAATACATACAAAGAAAGAAAATAATAAATCAAAGTAGAAATGAATCTTTCGATTAATTTATTACTTTCAAAGATTAGTAATATACATTTTTTGAACGAATTAAACGTATTACTCGTGACATTTGTATAATATATTATTTCGTGTTGATCATTTTTATTTTTATTTTTATTTCTCGTTTACGTTTGATTAATTATTCTTCAAGAAGAAAAAGAAACGTGATATGATATCTCTCGCGAGAAGAAGCACTTTGGTAACAGGGAGTATTATTAGCGATAGGCGGAAAAGTGAGAGAAGAGAAAAGAAGAAAAGAGAAGAAAATAAAAGAAAAGAGAAGAGAGAAAAAGAAAAAGCTCTTTCGTATAAATACATAAAATCAAGCAATCATCGTAAATGGCGATGGTGGTAGTGGTAGTGGTGGTGGTGGTGGGTGGGGGTGGTGGTTGTAATAGTGGTAGGGGTTGTTGAATCGAGAAATACAACCGTGTTACCTTTTTCGTTCTGTCGTCTGTCGCCCGTTGTTTGTCCTACGACACGACGGAGAAAAGCTTGCTTGTATTGTATTGCTTGCTGTTCTGTTTCTGCTTAAAGAAAAAAGTCAAATAAACACGCGTGAATACGAACCAACCTAAAGGTTTATATACGTAATACGTCATGACAAAATGTTTGACGAGGTACGTGTCTTCTGCGTATAAAACAATCATTTCCATTTTGTTTCTCTCTCTCTCTCTCTCTCTCTTTCTCGATTACGTATACATAATGTTTTTCGTAATGTTAATCCTATTAAAGATTTCATTTGTTATTAAAATTCGTTTATCTTACTATAATATTCTATTAAGAAAATTTGAAATCCTGTTAGAGAGAGAGAGAGAGAGAGATAAGTAAAATTTGATTTGTTAATGAAAATTGATTTTGTATATTTAAGTGGGGTTTGGTTAAATGTCGTTGTATTTTCCATAAATTATGATTTGCAAACCTTTTTGTATGATTAATAAAATAATATATAATTGAAAAAAAAGAAAAACACAACAAATATAATTGCAACTAGATAAGTGTAAAGAAAAGGGGAGGGGGAGGGATGAAAAAAAGGAAAAGGGTTTGGGTCGAGTGTCGTGAGAAAAAGTATAAAAATTTGAACATCATATCGCAACTATATATAAACGCGTTCTTCAAAAAGTAAAACCGCAAACTATCGGAAATACGTAGTTGGGAAGAAAGAGATGGAAACACGGGAAGAAGAAAAAGAAAAAAGAAAAAATAAGAATAAACGAAAGAATGGGGGAACATTTTAACGGCAGGAAACGAACGGTGTTTAGAGAACTATATTTTAGGAAACGCGCCACTTAATGATCACGAAAATTGATCATCGGTTGTTCTTTTATTTGATCATAATGCCACCCGCCTAGTTTTTTCTTTTTTTTCGTATATTTTCGGAACACACTTTTAAAAACATTTCCAAAAATCATACGTCTCCGAAAAAGTAATAAACGGAAAACGTTTATTTGTTTTCGTGGGAATTCATTTAAAAACAAAAAAAAACAAAAATAAAAAATTAAAAAGAAATGATTCCTTTTGTTTTTCGTAGAAAATAAATTAAGAACACACACAAAGTACATATATTGTAAAATTAGAAATAAAATATTAAATAATAATTAGAGTTGATTAATGGTGTTATAAAAAGTTTTGAGTCTCGAAAAAAATGATACTTTTATCTATCTTTATTTTTAAACTAAAGGGTCATTTTTCAAAACCCATCCACGCGTATATGCAATCCAATTTATTATTTTTATTTATTTTCTTATTAATTTCTAATATATCATACATATATATATATATAATTAATATAAGAAAATCTTATATAGGGAAAAATCTTGATTAAATTCCACGAGTATCGAGTTTAACACACACACACACACACACAAATTGCTGAAATCATAACGAATCGAAGAACACACACGAGGTATATTCGTCATAGCAACTTTTCATCGATGCTATGAATTTCCATAAGCTTGCCTCAAAATTACTTTTTTTCGATTGGGTTGAACGAGGTAACGAACAAAAAAAAAACAAAACAAAAAAATCACATCTTTCATTTCCCTCCTCCTCCTCCACCCCCCTCGACCCCGACCAGAGCAACACCTTTCACCGAAAACAAAAATATCGAAACTAACAACAAAATATACGTTTCATTGCATAGTATTTCAACCAACGCGTGGATTTTTTTTTATATCTACCAATATTTTCAACTAGCAATGACGATAAATTTTACGTCGTACGAAAATAAATATTTCTTTCACACACATACAGATACAGACACTCTTGTGCATATATATATATGCAAGTTCGTTCGTACGTGTGAGATTACTTTCGTGATTTTTATAAACCAACATTAAAAATATTAGAAATAAAATTTTTTTGGAAGGTTCGCAAATTCGTCGAAAAATTTGTCTCGTCATATTATCTCGTTGTCGAAGAAACAAAACATTTCATCAAATTGTTTCGTCTTTGTCTATGTTGAAAATTAAGAAAGGATAAATAGAAATAAGAGTTTACGTTGTTGATGATTACAGGGCGCCATACATTTTTTTTTAACTTTTGGGTGTTCGAAGTTTCAACGATCAACGATTTAAAGTGACTAAGAGAGACAGAAAGAAAGAGAGAAAAAGAGAGAGAGAGAAAAAGAGAGAGATGAAGAAACCGGAAATGACCGGAAATGACCGGAAATGGTAGAGTTGTTCCAATTTCTTTTACGTACTTATCATCCTAACGAAGA